ATATATACAGTGGATATATATATATGTTATATTTATGCTGATAAATAAATAAAGGGAGACTAGTATAGATCTATTTCAAGCTATTTAGCTCTCATCAGCTAGCCATACCAGGGGTTGTGACTTTAAGTATATATATATATGTGTGTGTGTGTGTATATATATATATATATATATATCCACTGTATATATCTCTGGAAGGGTAAGGAATAATGAAATTATTGGAAAATGAAATCGAAGGAATTGAGCGCAGGGCTTGTTTGACCATAGTTTATTGGCTGGGTTGGCAAAACACAATAAAACTATTGGCAATTGTTTACAAAGCACAGCAGTTGAATTCTTACAGTATGCTGTGGCACGAACAAGCACACTAACTATGGCTTAATGAAAAAAGTAAGCCTTTTTTTTAGAATTTATCTCTAACAGGCTAAAAATAAACTCAGCTTACATTTTGAGATGATTTGTACTTTATTTAGAACTGACAACAATCACATAAATAAATGTCTGACATGGGAAGAAACAAAAAGCATTTGAGATAATTTTATAGAATGCAAAACCTCACAAGATAGTTCAAGAATCTTAACCAACCTGTAAGTTGTAAATAAATAGGTTGGTTAAAAAAAAACTTGCTGCAGAAAGGGGACCTGTTAAAATGTTGATTTAGCTTTAAACAATAATATTTTTGCTATTGAATATCAAAACCCAACTATTCATTACATAAAATAATTTTTGTATTGGTTAAAACAGTTATAAAACAATCAACTAGGAATTTAAGATTTAACTAGCAATCCCCTGTCCTTCTGTCCCCATCTATTTGTATTCATTTCTTTTGTTTATATCCATGTTTATTCCTGCTATCTTGTACATGTTTGTACATGTTTGACAAACTAATAAATAGAGATACAAATACATATTGTATATTGTAAGATATGATATATTATATGTAAAATAGTACAGAATAATGGTTATAAGAGGAATACATGTACATAGATATAAGATGTATAGAATCAATCAGTCAATCAATCTTTATTGATTAGCCCTTGGGCCATATCAAAATACCAAGTTCTAGAGACAATTTAAAATGAGATTGAAACAAACCACAACTTAAAATGTAAATGGAATAAAATACAATTTAAAATACAATCAGAATAGAATGCAGTAATTTAAGATACAAATTAAATATGCTTGAAATTATATTACATGTCACCCCTACGTCTACCCCGTCAAGTGGTC